CCTGTAGGAGAAGGGAATTAGTCAGAATTCCTGTGGGAGCAGGTGAGATTGATCAGAATTCCTGTAGGAGAAGGGAATGAGTCAGAATTCCTGTGGGAGCAGGTGTGATTGGTCAGAATTCCTGTAGGAGTGGGGGAATTGGCTAGAATTCTTGCAGGAGCAGTGATGATTAAAAAAAAACAATCCCATACACACACACCTCTAATTCCGGCTTGGGACCAGCACTAAGAGCGCACTGTGGCTGGGGTCGGTTCCCTGGCTGGGAGTTGAACCCCAGCCACAGTGGTGAGAGCGCTGTGGCCCAACCACTAGTCCTCCAAGGATACACAAAATAATTTACTGTAAATTCCAGTTAAAATATGCAAATTAACATGTACACTGTCTCATTTTGAGTGATCAAAAACTCATCTGAAACTCATCTGTATAAAATAGTATTTATACAGTACAGCACCTTGCCTTGTAGCTGTGCTACATGACAACATGAAAAGACAACTTCACAACATCTAAAACATCAAAAATGAAGAATTATGAAGATGTCTTGAGAGAACTGTGCAACTGAGAAGGTTAGACATCCTGAAGAGGGCGACACATGACAAGTTACAGCTCTCTCAACCTGCTCACTCATACGCATGGTACTGTTAAAGGATGTGAACGGCGCTATTGTATTTAATTCACAGGACAAAAAAAAAACACATTTCGACAAAATATAAACAAAGACGCAGTTCAGACGTTTTTGAATGATCCTCAAACATAGTTTTATGACTGCACATAGACGTAGGCTAAGAATTTAGCAGTTAACCTGTCAAGTTATCTTATCATAAGAGCACTAATAGTGAAAATTATGGACATTTATGAATTAGAAATCCTTTCAGCTTATTTTAGCTATACAGCTAGCATTAGCAGCAAAGATTGTGAACCTTTGTGAGTATGATTTAGAAAGCCTGTGAAGTTAGCTTATTTTATAGCCTTAAAAATTTTACCTGTTACTGTCAGGTTAGCTCATGTTAGCTAGATAGCTAATATGAACAGGTAATATCATGACCCTGTTGTTAGATCCTGTCAGGTTAGCTCAGAGGTATTCAAACCACTTCTCATTGTTTCTGAGATTAATTGACATTTATTTTAATTTCCCATTATATTATGGACTTCTCTGTATATAGGGGTAACTATATTACTTTTATCATATGGGGAGCTGTACTGTAATGGCTTGGGACTGTGATTGCTGTAGTGGCTTTGGGGCTGCAGTTGCCACGAGCAGCTTCGTACTCAGGACTCCATCAGTGGACAGTGGATAGATTTTAACCAGCTGGACCTCTTGCAAATACTGTGATGAATTTATTGGTTGCACAATTGCACTATTTGTCCATATAGTACACAATAGAAGGGATTTATTTATAATTGCACTATCCGTTGCACCCAGATGAGGATGGGTTCCCTTTTGAGCCTGGTTCCTCTCAAGGTTTCTTCCTCATATCATCTCGGGGAGTTTTTCCTTGCCACCGTCG